ATTGCACGCCCCACTTTTCAATTATTTATTTGTTAAAAAAGTTTAAATTATCCAATAAATTTTGTTCCACTTCACGATTGTGTTCTACTTGTTGTTGATTCTTGACAAAAAATTTAATTTTTATATCTTTATGTTTGAATGGGGCGAAATGTTGAAAGGTTCAAGGGGGCCGAATACTTTCACAAGGCACTGTAACACACTTTTTTCAGGAAACTAAACCTCCAGGGGTCCTTTCCAAATTTTTACAGAGACTGCATAAGGACCGTTAGAAAAGCATTACCCATTGATTATTAAGCTTGGACCAGTGGGGTCCGGTGTTCGGGCCTGTTAGTAGAGTTGTTGGATTTTCATTAAAGTGAATTAGAATATATTCAAAGTTTAGACAGTTTTGGGTTAAGCTACTGTGTGATGGGATGTGATGGACGCATCAGCAGCATTCTCCCATCCCCCAGCCATGAAACACAGGAAGCAGTGGCGGCTGGTGGAATTTTCTACTGGGGGGGCTATGAATATGATGACTAGATATATACCAGCAGTAAGTAAGTTTACACTGACTGTTGTGACTGAAGCCTCACACGAGAATGAAATATTTATCTTCCCAAACATAGCTAATTTGAGGGCATTTTGCATGTGGATACCAGTCTGCTCATGCTTCTTTGCCTTTTCTAAAAAGTGCTTCAGATCAGTCATACCTGTCTTGATCCATGCTGGGTCAGATCCTGATGTTTGAAACAAGAGGCATGGAAAGCAAAATAAAGCATTAGCCTCGCTACATGCTGCTAGCCAAGATTTGGCGCTGAACCAGGTCCTGGAAAAAGTACGAGTGTACCGTCTCCCCCTGTCGCTGGACTGCTGACTAATGGTAATATTTGGCTGATCAGGTCCAAGCTCTTTAACCTCAACCTTCTCCTGGTATGATCTTCTCTCAAACGGTATTGTTTTGAGTGATCTAACTGAATTTTTTCTCGTTCTCCATTTTGCGTCTCTTTACGTTCGTCTCAAACTCCCACAGCTTGACCTGTCAATCACTGTAAACGGACGTCACAGACAGTGACAGTACAGGTCGCGGGCGATCCCGCCCCCTCAGGGCGCACTTCTCCTGCGCCCCCAAATCGTCTTATCTCTTGCATTGAAGAGGAGCTACTGCGCATGTACAACTTTTAACGAGAGTCCATACACGGCTCAGGGCGCAATCTTTTGCGCCCTGAGGCGGAAATACGTCCTCAGTCCGACACAGACAACGCTGATGAGCTTAATCAATCCAACTCAGCATAAACTATAAAGTATTTCTTCCACATCTGAAATAAAACACACATAAATTTCGAAATATTTTAATGTTATTATTTTTTTTAACGTTTTATTCAAGGTAACATGGCAAGTTGTGAGTGGTGGGGCGGCGCCCTAGCGCCCTCTATTGGCCGGCCGCCACTGACAGGAAGTTAAATTAAGAAGAGCGCAGAGAACATCTGTTTAGAGTAGCCTCAGGCTTACTTTGAGAGGGGCTATTTGTTTGTCCTGAAACAGAGAAGGTATTGTCTTCACCTAAGGATGTTGGGACATATGTGTTTCAAATTATCATGGTATAAGACCAGAGTTCTTGGTCCATTTCTTTTGTCACTCTGCTGCTTTCCATCCAGCAGAGATCCAGACTAGACTGTAGTCTGTAACTTGTCTGTTTGTGCTGATGTCCAGATAACCTGTAGTTTTGAACTAGCGGCTGACAACATGTATTAAAGAGATTATGTTGTTGAAATGTGACTAGTTTATTCACAGGGCCCCACCACGTAAAACCAGTCCCCATGACGTGAGTGGAATCTCAGGTTATGGACCCCACCAGGAGTTGAAAACAAGTGCACACACACACACACACACACACACACACACACACACACACAGAACACACACAGACACACACATACAGACACACACACACACAGACACACACACACGCACACACACAGACACACACACACACAAACACACACACACAGACACACACACACGCACACACACACACACACACACATAGACACACACACAGACACACACACATAGACACACACACACACAGACACACACATAGACACACACACATAGACACACACACAGACACATATAGACACACACACACACAGACACACACACACACACACACACACATAGACACACAAACACACACACACAGACACACACACACACAGACACACACACATAGACACACACACACACACAGATGAACTTTCACTTCCAAATGTGTGAAAACAACAGCTTCCTTCCTGTTTCAGAATCAAACAACTAAAGACCAAAACCAAGGACCAGACCAAAACCAGAGACCAGAGACCAGACCAAAACCAGATACCAGAGACCAGACCAAAACCAGAGACCAGACCAAAGACCAGAGACCAGACCAAAACCAGATACCAGAGACCAGACCAAAACCAGAGACCAGACCAGAGACCAGACCAAAACCAGTACATCACTGTAACTGTGCAATACTACTGTAACTGTGCAATACTACTGTAACTGTGCAATACTACTGTGACTGTACAATACTGATGTAACTGTGCAATACTGCTGTGACTGTACAATACTGATGTAACTGTGCAATACTGATGTAACTGTGCAATACTACTGTGACTGTACAATACTGATGTAACTGTGCAATACTGATGTAACTGTGCAATACTACTGTGACTGTACAATACTGATGTGACTGTACAATACTGATGTAACTGTGCAATACTGATGTAACTGTGCAATACTACTGTGACTGTACAATACTGATGTAACTGTGCAATACTGATGTAACTGTGCAATACTACTGTGACTGTACAATACTACTGTAACTGTGCAATACTACTGTAACTGTGCAATACTGATGTAACTGTGCAATACTACTGTGACTGTACAATACTACTGTAACTGCAATACTACTGTAACTGTGCAATACTGCTGTAACTGTACAATACTGATGTAACTGTGCAATACTGATGTAACTGTGCAATACTGATGTAACTGTGCCATACTGATGTAACTGTGCCATACTGCTGTGACTGTGCAATACTGATGTGACTGTGCAATACTGATGTAACTGTGCAATACTGATGTAACTGTGCAATACTGCTGTAACTGTACAATACTGATGTAACTGTGCAATACTGATGTAACTGTGCAATACTACTGTGACTGTGAAATACTGCTGTAACTGTACAATACTACTGTAACTGTGCAATCCAACTGTAACTGTGCAATACTGCTGTAACTGTACAATACTGATGTAGCTGTGCAATACTGATGTAACTGTGCAATACTGATGTAACTGCAATACTACTGTGACTGTACAATACTACTGTAACTGTGCAATACTGCTGTAACTGTACAATACTGATGTAACTGTGCAATACTGATGTAACTGTGCCATACTGCTGTGACTGTGCAATACTGATGTGACTGTGCAATACTACTGTAACTGTGCAATACTGATGTGACTGTGCGATACTGCTGTAACTGTGCAATACTGATGTGACTGTGCAATACTGCTGTGACTGTGCAATACTGCTGTGACTGTACAATACTGATGTGACTGTGCAATACTGATGTGACTGTGCAATACTGATGTGACTGTGCAATACTGCTGTAACTGTGCAATACTACTGTAACTGTACAATACTACTGTAACTGTGCAATACTACTGTAACTGTGCAATACTGATGTAACTGTGCAATACTACTGTAACTGTACAATACTGATGTAACTGTGCAATACTGATGTAACTGTGCAATACTACTGTGACTGTGCAATACTGCTGTAACTGTGCAATACTGATGTAACTGTGCAATACTGATGTAACTGTGCAATACTGCTGTAACTGTACAATACTGATGTAACTGTGCAATACTGATGTAACTGTGCAATACTACTGTGACTGTGAAATACTGCTGTAACTGTACAATACTACTGTAACTGTGCAATCCAACTGTAACTGTGCAATACTGCTGTAACTGTACAATACTGATGTAGCTGTGCAATACTGATGTAACTGTGCAATACTGATGTAACTGCAATACTACTGTGACTGTACAATACTACTGTAACTGTGCAATACTGCTGTAACTGTACAATACTGATGTAACTGTGCAATACTGATGTAACTGTGCCATACTGCTGTGACTGTGCAATACTGATGTGACTGTGCAATACTACTGTAACTGTGCAATACTGATGTGACTGTGCAATACTGCTGTAACTGTGCAATACTGATGTGACTGTGCAATACTGCTGTGACTGTGCAATACTGCTGTGACTGTACAATACTGATGTGACTGTGAAATACTGATGTGACTGTGCAATACTGATGTGACTGTGCAATACTGCTGTAACTGTGCAATACTACTGTAACTGTACAATACTACTGTAACTGTGCAATACTACTGTAACTGTGCAATACTGATGTAACTGTGCAATACTGCTGTAACTGTACAATACTGATGTAACTGTGCAATACTGATGTAACTGTGCAATACTACTGTGACTGTGCAATACTGCTGTAACTGTACAATACTACTGTAACTGTGCAATCCTACTGTAACTGTGCAATACTGCTGTAACTGTACAATACTGATGTAACTGTGCAATACTGATGTAACTGTGCAATACACATGTAACTGTGCAATACTACTGTGACTGTACAATACTACTGTAACTGTGCAATACTGCTGTAACTGTACAATACTGATGTAACTGTGCAATACTGATGTAACTGTGCCATACTGCTGTGACTGTGCAATACTGATGTGACTGTGCAATACTACTGTAACTGTGCAATACTGATGTGACTGTGCAATACTGCTGTAACTGTGCAATACTGATGTGACTGTGCAATACTGATGTGACTGTGCAATACTGCTGTAACTGTGCAATACTACTGTAACTGTACAATACTACTGTAACTGTGCAATACTACTGTAACTGTGCAATACTGATGTGACTGTGTAATACTATCACCTGTGGGGAGCTTTATAGTACCATGTCTCTACACCAGGGGACAGGGTAAGAAGTGTGGGTGCAATGTCACGTCTCACCGTTAGGGGGCAGTTGATGCATGGCGTCCTGGTGTTGAGGCTGAAGATGTGTATGAAGAAGAAGACCAGGAGCGCCACAAGGAACCATAAAGCCACCACCTCAAAAAACTGGAACGCGTACCAGCTGGGCCAACCGCGAGAGAGGTGAATACAGAGGAAGGTGACCAGCAGCGCCACCTGGAGGGCAGAAGAGAGGTGTGAGACCAGAGAGAGGCCAGATAGAGACCAGAGAGAGACCAGAGAGAGACCAGAAAGAAACCAGAGAGACCAGAGAGAGACCAGAGAGAGACCAGAAAGAAACCAGAGAGACCAGAGAGAGACCAGAGAGACCAGAGAGAGGGACCAGAAAGAAACCAGAGACCTGCAGAAAGAGACCAGAGAGAGACCAGAGAGAGACCAGAGAGAAACCAGAGAGAGACCAGAGAGTGACCAGAGAGAGACCAGAGAGAGACCAGAGAGAGACCAGAGAGAGACTAGAGAGTGACCAGAGAGAGACCAGAGATAGACCAGAGAGAGACCAGAGAGAGAGACCAGAGAGAGACCAGAGAGAGAGACCAGAGAGAGAGACCAGAGAGAGACCAGAGAGAGACTAGAGAGAGACTAGAGAGAGACTAGAGAGAGACCAGAGAGAGATCAGAGAGAGACCAGAGAGAGACCAGAGAGACTAGAGAGAGACCAGAGAGAGACTAGAATGAGACCAGAGAGAGAGAGACCAGAGAGAGAGACCAGAGAGAGAGACCAGAGACAGACCAGAGAGAGACTAGAGAGAGACCAGAGAGAGACCAGAGAGAGACCAGAAAGTGATTACATGTGCAGCCAAAAGTGTCTTTTTCTCTGTCTCCCCTCCACTCACCTCCTTCCTCTCCCCCCCTCCTCTCCCCTCCTCTCCCCCCTCCTCTCCCCCCCTCTCCCCCCTCCTCTCCCCTCCTCTCCCCTCCTCTCAGTAAAATAATAATGATACTATTACATGAAAGTATCATTATCCCCCCCCCCCCCATGAAAGTATCATTATCCCCCCCCCCCCGCCCCAGCAGACCCCCCAGTTTCATCTGTCCGCTCTGCAGAAGGCACGGGACGGTCTCTCTCCTCAGCCGACCCGCCCTGTCCCTCTCTAACCCCCCCTGGTCCTCCCTTCCTGGTCCTCCCCCCTGGTCCTCCCCTCCTGGTCCTCACCAGCTGGCCGCTCTGCAGAAGGCCCGGGATGGTCCGCATGTAGCCCAGGTTCAGACCCCCAGGAGCGCTCGTGGTCCCCGCGTGAGACATGTTTTCAGCCCGCACTGTCACGCGCACAGAAACGGGCGCGCGCGCACACGCTGACTCCCGCGCACACGCACAGAGATAGATCTTCAGCAGACACTTCCACTGCGGAGCAGGACCGTCCCAATGCGGACTGAGGGGGGCTGAAGGCGGCTGAGGAGGACTAGAGCGAGGCCCTGCAGGAGAGCGCGGCGGCCATCTTACGACTGTCACTGCTGCTGCTGGAGTGTGTTTGCGTGTGTGTGTGTGTGTGTGTTTTGTGTCAAGTCCATAATCAAAGGTTAATAATGTTGCTAATTATAATATTATCCGCTCTCTTGAAGGCAAAACATTTAGTCAAACCTTTAGTTTTACACTGAGCTAAATCACTGGAAACAATCTCTCTCTGGTCTCTCTCTCTGGTCTCTCTCTGGTCTCTCTCTCTGGTCCCTCTCTGGTCTCTCTCTGGTCTCTCTCTCTGGTCTCTCTCTGGTCTCTCTCTGGTCCCTCTCTGGTCTCTCTCTGGTCTCTCTCTCTGGTCTCTCTCTGGTCTATCTCTGGTCCCTCTCTGGTCTCTCTCTGGTCTCTCTCTCTGGTCTCTCTCTGGTCTCTCTCTGGTCTCTCTCTCTGGTCTCTCTCTGGTCTCTCTCTCTGGTCTCTCTGTTCCCGCTCTGGTCAGTATGGTCCAGTCTCAAAATGGCCGCCTGTGCTGGACCTGTATAGAAGCAGACACTACAGAGACACACCCTCTCTGGTCTCGCTCTGGTCTCTCTCTGGTCTCTCTCTCTCCATCAGCACCGCCCTGATGCAGCTGCAGCGGAGGGAACTGCTCAGACATAAACAAGGCCGGACGCAGGATTGATGTCACACGCCGTGTTCCCTCATTCCACAGGATACCGTCATTTTGACTGCCTGGTGTTCGGTCTCTGTCCTCTAGTCTTCTGATGAATCCAATGCATCTCGCTTTTCTCAATTTTTACAACATTGTTCAGGCACAGACCGGGAGATGTGTTTAGACCCATCCACGCTACTATGTGAGAGACCAGTGTTATATTTTACTTTTCCACATTGTTTGTCTGCTTTATTCTCCTTTCATTATTTTTGATATATTTTATTATTTCAGATTCATTTCTTTGCCATTTGCAGTAAAACCACATTGGAACACATCCCCAAAAGTCTCCAGTGTCCAGCAGACAAGTACATACATAAAAGTGCTCCGTTCAAACTGAAAACAGCTGAAAGAAGCTGTTAACGTGTTAGCATATTGAGATGTCCTGCATCTCAGCGAAAAATATCTTCTGCCAGAGGGAAGAAGCTGGAACAAGACTTTACCAGGGGCCAGAAGAGTCATTGATTATTCTAAGAACTTTGCTTAAAAGTCTGGATTTATAAAGAACCTCAAGAACAGGAAGCTCACAGTCCTCTCGCTGGTCTCTCTCTGATCTCTCTCTCTGGTCTCTCCATGGTCTCTCTCTGGTCCCTCTCTGATCTCTCTCTCTGGTCTCTCCATGGTCTCTCTCTGGTCTCTCTCTGGTCTCTCTCTGGTCTGTGATGTCACCAAACCACACAGTCACAGAACCAATAAGCAAACTCTCAATGGTGCAGCGATAAAAGTGCAGCAGAATCTTAGAGTTAGTGGTAAATTCTCTAAGTTTAAGCAGAAAGTAGAGACTCTGACGAGCTTTCTTAACAACCTGTGGGTGTTTTTGTCCCATTTCAGGTTAGACAGAGTTAAACCTAAACTTGCTCCTCTACAATCTGCTCATAATTTCTGTGTAATATACAAATACAGATTTATTATCATTAGTATTTATTGTTAGAGAGAGAGAGAGACCAGAGAGAGACCAGAGAGAGACCAGAGAGAGAGAGACCAGAGAGAGAGAGACCATAGAGAGACCAGAGAGAGAGAGAGACCATAGAGACCAGGGAGAGACCAGGGAGAGACCAGGGAGAGAGAGAGACCATAGAGAGATCCGGGTGAGGCAAATCAAAGTGTTGAGCAAAACAAGATAAAAAAGATAGGGAGAAGGACTAGAAAGAAGGACATTCCATGGCACTTAACACAAATTTGCTCATGGTGCTGGTCCTGGACTTGTTCAGAGCAATCTCAGCTTGGGGTGAGTTCTAGTTACCACAGCAACACACTTTACTTGACAGTTAGTTACATTTCATTTTATACTCATATTCAACATTTTTAGCACGTATTAAAGGTACATTTGTATGAATTTCTTAGCCCAAACGGAATTAAAATAATGAATACAAAATAAATAAAACTTTTCTGCACGTTCTTATTCGTGTTGTCGCCGCAGACCTGGCGCCCCTCACAGTTTGAATGGAGTTCTCCCTTCGGGACAATCCTCCTCTTTCCCCGGGCCAGGTAACTCCAACCCCCGCTCTGAGCCCTGTGTGTGTCCAGGTCCAAGCCCCCACCTTGTTGCCCCGTGCTGACCAGTGCTGACCCGAGCCAAACCCCTAACCACCCCCGCTAGCCGCAGCTGTTGGCTGGTGCTAATGCTAACAGCTCAGCGCTTGTTCCGCTGGGTCAAAGCGTAGCATCGGGCTATGGTTCGAGTGTCGGGAGTATTCCTGATTTGGGTCGGTTAATCGAGTCTCTAGATGTTGTTTATAAGTGGTGTTCAGAAAGAAAACGTGACACAAATGCATTTAAACGAGGTTAGCCGCTACATGCTAATGTGGCTAAGCTACCACAACAAACACCGGACTACATGCTAATGTGGCTAAGCTAACACAACAAAGTTCGTAAATATACACATTATAAAAAAGCTCCATGTTAAACGCGGCTTCCTCTTGGCAACAGTTATTCTCGCAGTGTGTTTGAGGCTTTAAACTGATTTAGGATCAGTTCAGGATTCACTCAAACTGTCCACCACTGTTATGAATGTGAAGGAGACAATATAATAACATAATACGCTTCCATAAGGCGCTTGCAATTTACTACATATATTTCATACCTGAAAAAGAAACCACCCAAATCCTATAGATAATAATGTCTTGTTGTTACTACTAGGGGGATGAGGCTGTTTGAAACCAGCTCCCATCGGTGATTGTGGCCATGTGTCCTTGGGCAAGACACTTAACCCGCCTCGTCCCCAGTGTCTTTGTGAATGGGTGATTGGTTCCTTTTCTTCCAGAGCAGTCAATTAGACAGCTTTAGGATTGTAAACTTGCTCGTCCTGAACTGGCCCTGGTTCTGAGCTGACTCTGGTTTCCACTACAGAAAAGCGAGTGCCAGTTATCATAGCAACACACTGTTTACAGACGGCAGTTAGCATTAGTCTTTTGCCAACTTTTCTTTTCTGTATTTAAAGTTACATTCATCTGTTTTAGCATGTTTTACAGTCAAAGTACTACTGTTATACTACGGCTGTGTTTCATAGGCGTAAGATGGCGGAGGGCCCGTTGTCCATCATCACTGAGGCGTTGGACCCAGAGCTACTCATCGACCCGGAAGTGGCTCTGAAGGCGTGTCAGGAAGTGTTGCAGTCACATGACAAACAGGCGAGTCACATGACCTCTCGCCGCTCTTCCAGTGATGTAAATTATGTGACTTTTTTTACGCCTTTATTTTGCAGAAATGCGACGGCCCCGATCAGACTGATGCAAGCCCCGCCCCCTCACTAGAGAGCCCCGCCCCCTCAATAGAGAGTCCCGCCCCCTCACTAGAAAGCCCCGCCCCCTCGCCAGAGAGCCCCGCCCCCTCACCAGAGAGCCCCGCACCCTCTTCTGTTACGCGCCTACATAAGCCCCGCCCCAAAGATATCTCATCCAATCAGCAGTCATCGTGGCTTCTGCGTCTTTTTGAATCCAAACTGTTCGACGTCTCGATGGCCATTTCATATTTGTACAGTTCTAAAGATCCAGGAGTCCAGGTACTGGAAATACTACTACTACTGTTACTAGTACTACTACTTCTACTGCTACTAGTACTACTACTACTACTACTTCAACTGCTACTACTACTACTACTACTTCTGCTACTACTAGTACTACTACTTCTACTACTACTACTACTACTACTACTACTTCTACTACTACTGCTACTGCTGCAACAGCTCATCCTCCCTCTCCTCCTCTTTCTCCGCTTCCTCCTCCCCCTCCCCCTCCTCCTCCTCCTCCCCCTCCTCCTCCTCCTACTCCCCTTCTCTTCCCCTCCTCCCTCCTCATCCTCCGCCTCCCCCTCCTCCACTTCTCCTCCCCTCCTCCCTCCTCATCCTCCTCCTCCCCCTCCTCCCCTTCTCCTCCCCTCCTCCTCCTCCCCTCCTCCTCCTCCCCCCCTACTCCTCTGTTTCAGGCCTACATTGGGAACAGACTCTTCTCCTTCTCTCACTCGGATGTGGACTTCTTTTTGCCGCAGCTGCTGAACATGTACGTGCACATGGACGCGCACGTGGGAGACGCCGTCAAGCCCTATCTGGTATAGTGCCCACCTGGTTCTGCCCCTCCAGGTTCTGCCCTCCAGGTTCTGCCCCACCTGGTTCTGCCCAAGCCCCGGTGATCCAAGATGGCGCCCTATTCAAATGATTGGCTTGTGCTCAGTAGCGCATGGGACTTCACGGGTGCTGACATATTAGCAGAACTTGCCCATATTTGGGCATCGTCTGGTCCTCCCAGTTCTCTGCAGTGGACGAGCTCCCATGATGCTCGGCCGCGCTCTGACCAATCAGAGTACTGTGGTCAGTTATAAATTCTAAATATTGTAAATGTTAGGATCAGACTCTGATTGGCTGTGTGTTTGACCCTCTGGCCTCTGATTGGCAGTGTGTGTCTCAGACTCTGATTGGCTGTGAGTATGACTCTGGCCTCTGATTGGCTGTTGCAGGTGCACCGTTGCCGTGGCTCCGTCTCCTTCTCTCTCACCTGTGCGTGGCTCCTGGGGGCCTACTCCAGCGACATGCACCTGTCCCACACAGACTCACTCCAGAGGGTCTGAAGATCCTAATAACTCACTCAGACCTGATGCATGTGTTATAGGTCCTAGTATCTCACTCAGACCTGATGTGTGTGTTGTAGGTCCTAATATCTCACTCAGACCTGATGTGTGTGTTGTAGGTCCTTATATGTCACTCAGACCTGATGTGTGTGTTGTAGGTCCTAATATGTCACTCAGACCGGATGTGTTTGTTGTAGGTCCTAATATGTCACTCAGACCTGTCAAGGTCCTCATATGTGGCAATAAAATCATGCGGGAAAAAAGTTTCTTTTAACCAAAATATCAACAGCTAGCTGTGTTACTGATCACACCCTGCTCCCCCCTATGTGATCCTCAGGTCTCTGGGACCTTCAGAAAGGCACGTCCTGATATGTCACAGTGCAGACATAGGTCCTCATTTGTCAAGCAAACGCGTATAGGTGTGTGTGTGTGTGTGTGTGTGTGTGTGTGTGTGTGTGTGTGTGTGTGTTGTGCAGCATGGCGCAAAGTTGTGCTCCCCCTCAACCCTGATTTGCATTTGTATATCTCACAGCATTCCCATTTACATGTTAAAGCCTCCTGTGGAGGAGGGAGGAGGGGACAACAAACTACCGTCAACAGCCGAATCCCAGAAGTTTCACAGTAATATACAGGGCCGAAAAGAGACGAAAATCACACTTTTCATGCAGTGTTGTACATCTCATCAATTTTGTTGGCCAGCAGGTCGTGAATCTTGCGAACTGCCATGCCTCCGAATTTGCGGTAGAAGAGGACCAACAACAAGTGGGACACAATCGTGAAGTGGAAAGAAATGTATTGGATAATTTAAACTTTTTTAACAAATAAAAAACTGAAAAGTGGGGCGTGCAATATTATTCGGCCCCTTTACTTTCAGTGCGGCAAACTCAGTCCAGAAGTTCAGTGAGGATCTTTGAATGATCCAATGTTGTCCTAAATGACTGATGATGATAAATAGAATGCACTTGTGTGTAATCAAGTCTCCGTATAAATGCACCTGCTCTTTGATAGTCTCAGGGTTCTGTTTAAAGCGCAGAGAGAACCATGAAGACAAAGGAACACACCAGGCAGGTCCGAGATACTGTTGTGGAGAAGTTTAAAGCCGGATTTGGATACAAGAAGATTTCCCAAGCTTTAAACATCTCAAGGAGCACTGTGCAAGCAATTATCAAGACCTAAAAAATCTACCAAGACCCGGCTGTCCCTCCAAACTTTCATCTCAAACAAGGAGAAGACTGATCAGAGATGCAGCCAAGAGGCCCATGATCACTCTGGATGAACTGCAGATAACTTGTTTTTGTTATACATATTGCGATAGGTCATTATGTCCAACGGAGTTCTCCTCCATGCTAGTCTGGTGGGACTTGAGGTCAATCTGGCGCCTATTGGCTAAAGCTATCACAGGCTCTGACGCCGGGAGCCCAGCAGCATTAGCATAGCAGCATTATCCCAGATCACATCCATTAATATTGACAAGCGTCAGCCGGGCCTACAGCATCATCACGGCAGAAGTTTGGTAAAGTTAGCGTCAGATTCGGACTTCCGCGGTCAATAGCACGAAAGCTACTTTGTTAAACAAAAGTAATTTTGACAAAATGATCACATTTACATCAATTTTTCAAATCCAACGCTCTGTTTTAATGCAGAGAAAACTATTGCTGCAAGTGCTGAGAAAAGTGCTTAGGAAGCGTCAACAAATGTCAAGACCAGCTTTGTAAACGAACAATAGCTTTTACTGATGATTTACTGAATCCTTTTTATATTTTGTATTACTAATAAGAATGCATTAAGTCCTTAACCAGCCAGAGAGTTCCACCTGTTTATTTAATTTCATTTTTGACTAAGGATTTCTTTGTTTTTTTTATATGTAGTGAAGTTCTAAATACTGATTATGAAATTCCATGATTACTTTGTACTGGGGATTTTGTTTGTGGAGACTGGACACACCAACTCCAAATATATATATATATACTAATATTTAAATAAGTAACAATCTTGACTATTTTATTCAAGAACCTGCAAGACCTATTGAAATTCACACCAAATTATACCACAATATGAATTTTACCTAAGTCATGTAACTATACACTTTGGAAGTAATTAGTCATTTGTAACTAATTACATTTTCAAAGTAACTTACCACACACTGGACCCAAGACACAGAGGACAGTGTGACTTGGACCTTAAAGAACCTTTCACATCAACAGCTGAAGATCAACTTCTGGTTTAAGACGTTTTTATAGACTATTTATTATGATTGTGATATTCTCTCCTCTCCTCTGTCTCCTCCTCTGTCTCCTCTCTGTCTCCTCCTCTGTGTCCTCTCTGTCTCCTCTCTGTCTCCTCTCTGTGTCCTCCTCTGTGTATCCTCCTCTGTGTCCTCCTCTGTGTCCTCTCTGTCTCCTCTCTGTCTCCTCCTCTCTGTCCTCTCTGTCTCCTCTCTGTCTCCTCCTCTGTGTCCTCTCTGTCTCCTCTCTGTGTCCTCTCTGTCTCCTCTCTGTGTCCTCCTCTGTGTCCTCCTCTGTGTGTGTCTGTGTCCTCTCTATGTCCTCTCTGTCTACTCTCTGTCTCTTCCTCTGTGTCCTCTCTGTCTCCTCTCTGTGTCCTCTCTGTGTCCTCCTCTGTGTCCTCTCTGTGTCCTCCTCTGTGTCCTCTCTGTCTCCTCTCTGTCTCCTCCTCTGTGTCCTCTCTGTCTCCTCTCTGTCTCCTCCTCTGTCTCCTCTCTGTCTCCTCTCTGTGTCCTCCTCTGTGTCCTCTCTGTGTCCTCCTCTGTGTCCTCCTCTGTGTCCTCCTCTGTGTCCTCCTCTGTGTCCTCTGTCTCCTCTCTGTGTCCTCTCTGTCTCCTCTCTGTGTCCTCTCTGTGTCTTCCTCTATGTCCTCTCTGTCTCCTCTCTGTCTCCTCCTCTGTGTCCTCTCTGTCTCCTCCTCTGTGTCCTCTCTGTCTCCTCTCTGTGTCCTCTCTGTCTCCTCTCTGTGTCCTCCTCTGTGTCCTCCTCTGTGTCCTCCTCTGTGTCCTCTCTGTCTCCTCTCTGTCTCCTCTCTGTGTCCTCTCTGTGTCCTCCTCTGTGTCCTCTCTGTGTCCTCCTCTGTGTCCTCTCTGTCTCCTCTCTGTCTCCTCCTCTGTGTCCTCTGTCTCCTCTCTGTGTCCTCTCTGTCTCCTCCTCTGTGTCCTCTCTGTCTCCTCTCTGTGTCCTCCTCTGTGTCCTCTCTGTGTCCTCCTCTGTCTCCTCTCTGTGTCCTCTCTGTCTCCTCCTCTGTGTCCTCTCTGTCTCCTCTCTGTCTCCTCTCTGTCTCCTCTCTGTCTTCTCCTCTGTATCCTCTCTGTCTCCTCCTCTGTCTCCTCTCTGTGTCCTCTCTGTGTCCTCTCTGTGTCCTCTCTGTGTCCTCCTCTGTGTCCTCTCTGTCTCCTCCTCTGTGTCCTCTCTGTCTCCTCTCTGTGTCCTCTCTGTGTCCTCTCTGTCTCCCCCTGTGTCCAAGAAATTAAAAAGATTGAGAAGATTGAGGAGGAGAAAATAGATGTAACAATGGACACTACAGTTACCGTAGGTCTGGCAGCCGCTGTAGGAGCCGCTGTAGGAGCCGCTGTCTGTGCTGGTGCAGGTGTCGCTGCTGCTCCATTCACAGAAGGACTGAGGTTGGCTTTGGTTGGAATCGGAGCTGGTGCTGTTGTTGGTGCTTGTGCTGCTGCTGCTGCTGGTGATCTTGTTGCTGAATCTATTGTAGACCTCATAATCAGATCAATCAGCAGAAGTGATAAGAAGGAGGCAGTAAAGAAAATCAAGGCCACAACAAGAAAGTTCATATCCACAGTGGAGGAGTTACAGACACGGATGAACAGTGTGAAGAGATGCTCCACGGAGCTGCAGGAATACGACGCTGTGATTAAAGTTCTCACATTTAAAGTCCCTTTCCTCCATCTGAAGCGAGTTGGAGTCATCAGGAGTGACTCTTTGTCAGAGGATGTCTCTGCGATGGAGGAGATTCTGCAGGAACTAAATAAAACCAAGACTGTCTTTGAACGTGTTCTGCAAAGTACTGAACACAAGAGTCAGAAAACATAAGAACAGAGTAGATCTCTGGACTGGACCTGACCTAGCCTGGTCGTACCACACCATAGTACAGATGACATTTCATACTAAGGTCTGGATTTGCTCCATTGACTCCGTGAACAGGTGGGAGGGGTTACCTCCTTTTACAGATTGAAACCATTGGATCTGAGTTTACAGTGACGTATGTAATGCGCCCGAGTGTGTTGTTAGCATTTAGCATTTAACCTAGCTTTAGCCATCTCCTTTGCCGCTATCGGAGCCCGTGGGGAGTAGCGCCACAATCTTGACCAGAGATTACATTTGCTAAACATTCCTCTTGCTCCGGCTTCAGTTTCTTGATAGAACCAGACCGGAATACTTTACTATCACATTCTTTGCCAAACTACAACCTTCCCGTTCGGCGCAAACTCTTGACGTCACCGGCACCAACCTACAACACCCGCCTTCCGCGCTCTCTGAGTAGCCGGTTGAAATACGACCGATTGTATTCGCTAACACAGGGACCAGACCCAGACGTTACATGCAGGACATGATGATTGAGCGGAGTGTACGGATGGATATGGCCAGGATAGACCTGACCTGGTTTGGACGTGAGGATTTACACGGGTCTGACTGACACACGCTGTTCCATCCAACTGTTCAATAAGAACGGTTTGTCGGGTCACTGGTTACAGCCCTGATCTGGAGGGACGTCATAACAAGTATGTATTTAATAATATACTGTATATATAAATAAACAGTGGTCTGACTGTGTGACATCACCACAGTGTGACATCACCACAGCGTGAGCTTTGATGCAGAAGAAGCTGATTTGAACATTAACTGGAGCCTGTTTCCTAATATGGGCATTTGTCCTGACAGCGTTAGCTTTGCACCTTTTTATGTAAAAAAGATTTTGAGTCAAACGCCACATTTACTTCAGTCACAGAATCTGATGGATTTAGTGAGACATAAATTCTACTGAAAGATCAAGGCCTGTGTCGTCACTGACAGAGCAGCCTCCGTTGGACTCCTGCAGGAGGAGCAGTGAGGGGCAGTGAGGGGCGGGTGCTCTGTGGACTGGGTGCAGCTCTGACTGCCACCCCCCCGTCCCAGAATTGGATAGATTTGATGTGTTTAGTCTGTATATCTGTCATTTTTTTATGTAATTGTATCTATCTGTTGTGTTTATGTGTAATTTTGCTGCCTCTTGGCCAGGACTCCCTTGAAAAAGAGATTCTTAATCTCAATGGGATTTTTCCTGGTTAAATAAAGGTTAAATAAAAAAATAAAAAAACATTCTACTGCGAGGAGGTGTGTGTGTCTGTGTGTGTATGTGTGTGTGTGTGTGTGTGTGTGTGTGTGTGTGTAAATATTGCAATAATGTGCGTTACTGCAATTTAAGAATGTCCACACGCACCCACCATCCCATAATGTTTGTATTATGTTTTGAAAGGCGTTTTTAAATAAAATGTATTATTATTGATAATATTGAAGTATTAACTGCTAAGAGACAGAGCAGATACTTGTATTGTATATTCTGTGAACTTTTAATACTGTCCTGTATGTGCGCTGCAACATTGACATTTCTCCACTGTCAGTGAATAAAGGTTCTTTTGTCAGTGATGGATCAACTATTGTCTTTCTTCATCATAGTTTTCAAATGAAAACAGAGACCACAGAAGTGTTTGTTATGAATAATGTTGACTGTGGCTCTGTCCATTTTCAAAATATACAAATCGTCAGAGTTTGTTGTGACTGCGGTTAATTAATGAGCAGAAAACACAGAAGAGCAACTCAAAGAGTAAAATACCAGAGGACAAGGATCTGACACATGGTAAAGGGTGTTCCTGGTCTGTGTCCTGCAGAGGTGATGATGAGGAAGATGAAGCTGCAGGGACCAGGACTCCACACTCCGCCCACTTCCCAGAGTATAGAGTAGAGGAGAGGAGAGGAGAGAGGAGAGGAGAGGAGAGAGGAGAGGGAAGAGAGGAGAGTAGAGGAGAGGAGAGGAGAGGGAAGAGAGGAGAGTAGAGGAGAGGGAAGAGGAGAGAGTAGAGGAGAGGAGAGGGAGGAGAGGAGAGGAGAGGAGAGGAGAGGGAAGAGAGGAGAGGGAGGAGAGGAGAGGAGATTGATTGATTTTTAACAGACCTTTATTTGTCCATTAAAAAGGTCACATGACATTACATATTACACATAGTAATGTATAGAAAAAACATAGTTTAAAAATCCGGACATAAAAGTGCAAAAAGTGCAAATACTGGCAATAAATAAACAATGCAATATATACCACACAATTCAATTCATAGGTTTACAACGATAAAAAGGCAGAAAAAAACAGCTCCCCGTCCCTCACAGAGCACACCTCCCTGAACCCCCAGCGCTCCTCAAACCCCTCCTGATCCCAATTTATCCTGTAGAGACCAAACTCCAGCCTGAGTCTGGCCTGGACCATCCGGACCAGCAGAGCCCTGGGACTGATCTCACTCTGGTCCTGGACCATCCTCCTCCTGCTCACATAGACGGCCATCTTGGCCTGACCAACGAGGAAACTGAGCAGCCGCCCCCTCCTCCTGCTGCGGCTGGAGTACCTGACCCCCCCCACAAACACCTGAGCATTAAACTCTGCCCCCAGTGAAGTGAAGAGGCCCTTCAGCAGCTCCAGCATGTGCCTGAGCCTCCCACACTCCCAGAAGCAGTGGAACACTGTCTCCCTCTCCCCACAGAAGGGACAGCCCTCCCCCACAGCCCTGTTCACCCTACACACAAAGGCATTGACTGCTATCGCCCCATGCAGCAGCCTCCACTGCAGGTCCCCCTGTTTCTTGGTCAGAGGGGGCTTGTACAAGGCCCCCCAGGCCGGGCTGAAGGCGGGGCCCAGGTGTGACCTCCACACAGTGTCTGCTCGGTCACACAGTCTCTGGTGGTTCAAGGCCTGGACCATGAGGCTGTAAAAAGTCTTCCCTGAAGCAGCCTCCAGAGAGGCAGCTACTGGACTGGCCAGCAGGGGCCCAGAGGAGGAGCCCAGGTCCGGGCTGAGGATGAGACTGGGGAAGGGGTCAGTGGGGTCAGGGGTCAGTGAGCCTGAACTGTGTCCCTCTAACAGAGTCCAGTCCTCCTCTGTCAGACCCTCTCTCCAGAAACACAGGAGACGCTCCAGGGTCCGACCCGGCCTCAGGCCCAGGTGGACTCCCAGTGCCTCCCAGTCCTTCAGCTGAGGACCACTGACATTGTGGAGCTGCTGCACCGAGACTACCCCCCCCAAACTGAAACGGCCCCGCAGCACAGGCCCCGCCCAGGCAGGAAACTCCAGGGGCCGCTGTAGGAGCCAGTGCAGAGAGGAGCTCTGCCTCTGCCTCTTCACTCTGCTCCACACCGAGAACAGCCCACAGTAGAAGGACGGGAGTCCAGCTGGTGTGTGGTCACTAAGGAACCCTGGGAGCCCCAGTCCCCCCGCCCTCTGCAGGATGGAGACTGCCAACGGTCTCCACAGCAGCTCCTCTGGCCCAGCTACCAGTCTCTGGAGAAACTGTAGCCTAAAAGCAGCTCCTCGGCTGGCCAGATGGACCAGACCTTGGCCTCCCTGCTCCTTCGGCAGAAACAGCACTGCCTGGGGGACCAGTGCAGCTTGTCCCAGAAGAAATCTGAGATCAGTCTCTGGATCTGTGAGAGTAAAGAGGGAGGTGGGTCTGTGCTCTGCAGCTTGTGCCACAGAGCAGAGGACACCAGGTTGTTGGCAACGAGGACCCTCCCTCTGTAAGACATTTTAGGCAACAGCCACCTCCATTTACTCAACCGCCCTTTAACTTGCTCCAGAGACTGATCCCAGTTCCTCCGGACATGACCAGGGCCGACGAACACCCCCAGGTGTTTAAAGCCCCCCGTCCTCCACACCAGTCCCCCAGGCAGGCTGAGACCCCTCAGACCCTCCCCGAGCAGAGTGGCAGAGCTCTTGCTCCAGTTCACCCTGGAGCTGGAGACCTGACCAAAGACCTGCACTGTGTCAGCCAGGACCTCCACATCCCTCTGGCTGTTAACGAACACAATAAGATCATCTGCGTACGCAGAGACCTTAAATGGTCGTGCTCCAGGCAGCAGCACCCCCTGCAGGTCAGCTCTGAGCCGATGCAGAAGGGGCTCGATGGAGAGGGAGTAGAGCATCCCAGACAGAGAGCAGCCCTGCCTGATGCCCCTCCCCACACTGAACGGAGCACTGAGCCCCCCATTCACCTTCAGTACACTCATGACGTCACAATACAGAGTCCGGATGTGGGCGATGAACCCAGGGCTGAACCCAAAGGCAGTCATGGTCTGCCAGAGGTACTGGTGTTCAACCCGGTCAAACGCCTTTTCCTGGTCTATGGAAATCAGTCCCAGGTTGATTCCCAATGAGCCGGAGACCCTCCAAAACGTCTCTGATCAGGGTGATGTTATCCCCTATGAGCCTGCTGGGCACACAGTACGTCTGGTCCACGTGGATGACCGAGGCCATGACCCCTCTCAGCCGGGACGCCAACACCTTGGACAGGATCTTGTAGTCCATGCAGAGCAGCGACACCGGCCTCCAGTTCTTTAGGAGCTGCAGATCACCCTTCTTTGGGAGCAAAGTCAGTACTGCTCTTCTGCAGCTCAGGGGCAAACGACCGCTCTCCAGACTGTCCATAAAGACCTCCAGAAGGTCTGGCCCCAAGACGTCCCAGAAGGCCTTGTAAAAATCGGCCGAAAGTCCGTCTATGCCCGGAGCTCTGCCTGGTTTTAGACTCCCCACCGCAGAGCCCAGTTCAGCCAGAGTCAGTGGGGCCTCCAGCTTCATATTGTCCTCATCACTGACCTGAGGCAGACCGTCCCCAAACCGGCCTCCCATAACAGACCCGGGACGCAGCTCAGAGCTATACAAATGTTCATAAAAGCCTGCGGCAAAGCTCCTGACCTCGGCAGAGTCTGTGATGAGGCGACCGCTGTCCGAGCGCAGAGACTGGATGATCCTCTTCTGCCCGTTCTTTACCTCCAGACTGAAAAAAAACTGGGAGGGTACATCCATCTGGGTCAGATCCATGTGGCGGGACCGGACCAGAGCCCCCTGTGCAGAGGTGCCCAGCAGGCTGGCCAAGGCCGACTTTTGTGCTTTGAGGGACTGTAAACACCCCCGTTCTCCTGTAGAAACTGCTAAACGCTGCAGTTCTACCACTGTAGTCTCCAGCTCCTTCACAAGCCGGGCCCTGTCTCTTGTGACACCATGAGTGTACTCCTGACACAGCTGCCTTATTTGAACGTTCCCATAGTCCCACCATCGCTGCAGGCTCACAAAGTGGGCCTTACATCGCTGGTGGGACTCCCAAAACACTTTAAAAGCACAAACAAACATTTTATCCAAAAGCAGTGAATTATTAAAGTGCCAGTAAGCACTGCCCACCCGCACATTAGACACCCGAATTACACAAACAATAAAACTGTGGTCAGAGATGCCCACAGGATGATGTGAGCCGCAGTGCACATGCTCAGCTGGTGTCCCGGAACATACACTCGGTCCAAACGGGCCAGAGACAGAGCATTGTCCTTACAGTGGGACCACGTGTACTCACGGACCCCTGGGTGCAGAGTCCTCCACACGTCCTCCAGACTGTGGACCTCCAACAGCCGCCTCAGCCTGAGGGAGGAGGCCGGGTGGGGCTCAGGGTGATTCCTGTCATGTTGTGGTTCCACAGTACAGTTCCAGTCCCCGGCCACAAACAGGACGTCCCCAGAGTCTGTGCAGTCCCTGATGCATTCACACAGAGTGTCCATCATCAGGACCCTCTGTGCTCCGGTGCACGGCAGGTACACACACACAAATGTTACTGTAGTGGTCTCCAACTGTGCACGTACCAGGAGCAGGCGGCCCGCTACCACCTCCTCAGTCTCTACACTCACTGGAAGACACCTCCTGGAGAACAACACTGCTACTCCTGCACTGGAGGCGGAGCCATGGCTGAGGACCAGCTGGCCCCCCCACTCCCTCCTCCAGTCTGACTCTATCTCTGCAGTACTGTGTGTCTCCTGTAGGAGCACCACATCTACTCCTTTCATCTGCAAGAACTGGAACAGAGCAGCTCGCTTCGCTCTGTCCCGGCAACCATTAATATTTAAACTGCCTATTTTAAAGTCACACATAAGGAAAAAAATTGAAAAAACACTAACAAAGTGGGATACTGAGATCAGTTAGGACCCTCACTGGCCACTTGGGCCCTGACTTTGCTCAGGAGTTTCTTAAGCCTGAATCTCTCCTGGTCTGTGAGAGCGTCCTCGTCCTGAGAGCTGGAGCTCCACACCAGGGGCCGGGCCGTCTCAGAGAAAAGCTTCAGGTTAGGAAAATAGTTTTCTACCTTTACACTCCTCATCCCTTTAGTGTCTCTCAAAAACTTTCTTATGTCTGCAGCTGAACATGACTTAACACCTTTACTCAAACTGCGTGTGACTTTAAACGGTTTCTCTGTGCTCTGAGAACTGCCTCCCTTTCTCTTCTGAGGATAGAGACACTGCTCCCCATCTGACATCTCCTCATCTAAAAACTCAGAGTCACTGTCTCCCACACTGCTCAGCTCCTGACTCATGTCACACACCTGCTCCTCGGGGGGAGGAGGAGTGCTGTCAGGGTCATTGACAGCAGTGGGGGCCTCCACCGCGGGCCCCGCAGCCGCGGGCCCCGCAGCGAGCTCCACCGCGGGGTCCACCGCGGGCTCTGCAGACCCGGACCCGCTGTCTGGGTCGTCAGGGGGGTCCTCAGCAGCGCTGTCCGCGGGGGGAGGCGTTGGGGCCGGGGGCGCGTCCCCCGATGGCTCCGCTGCCTCCGCGCTGGTCTCAGCGGAGGCTGCAGAGGTGCTCGGTGTCTGTGCGTCATTACGCGGCACATTCTGATCCATTCGTTCTGGGCACGCTCTGATCAGGTGACCCTCTGCGCCGCAGCCAAAACATTTCATGTTCTCAGATGATGCAAAAATCACATAACTGAATCCATCAACTTTAAAAGTGAAGGACAGGTTTAATTCGGAGTTATCCTTCAGCACCATGAGCACCTGTCTGCGATGGCACACTACGTGTCTGAGCAGCGGTGACTTACAGCCCAGTGACATCATTTTAATCGGTGTCACCAGCTGTCCGAACCGGGACAGTTCTGCAGCTAGAGTCTCGTTCTTGATAAACGGAGGAGCGTTGGAGACGATGACCCGCCTGGCGGGACTCACCAGCGGCAGGACAGAGGTGAACAGGCCCTGGATGGTGGCTCCCTTCTCCACGGCCTCCGCCACCTTCTCAGTGCTGGACAGAAAGACCACGACCGCTCCGTTCATCCGTGAAGCAGACTTGATGTGGACGTATCCCACTTCTTTCCCCACAGAGAGTATCGCCTCCTCCACAGAGCAGGACGCCGCAGTCACAAGCTTCACAGCGTTACGCCGCGTCAGCTGCTCCAAACCTCTGTCCCTGGCCATCCCGGGCGTTACGCCTCGCCCGGAGGCCGGTACACGGGCAACAAACACTCCGAAACACAAGCGCACGGTAATCCAGAGAAACACTTTGGCAAAAACCACAAAAATACTCGAAAAACTCCACTCGAAACCACGCGCTCTCAGTCAAACCAACCGGAAACGGAAGAGAGCTCCCCAGTCTCTCCTATAGTGGCCAATCTGTATATGGAGAAACTGGAGGAACAAGCCCTGGTATCTTACCAAGGGACAGCGCCAAGCCATTGGTTTCGATATGTAGACGATACATGGGTTAAGTTAAAGAAACAGGAAGTGGAACCATTTTCAGAACACATTAATTCGGTGGACCCTTTTATAAATTTCACTCGCGAGGATGCTAAGGAGAGTGAACTCGCCTTTCTAGATTGTAAGGTCATCATACTGGAGAACGGACAATTAGAGACTGAGGTCTTCAGAAAGTCCACTCACACTGACCAGTACCTGGCCTTTGACTCAAATCATCCGCTACAACACAAACTCGGGGTCATTAGAACGCTTCAACACCGAGCCCACCAGGTCCCCACTAGCTCGGAGGGAAAGAATAGAGAAACCAAACATGTTCAGAGAGCACTTTCCAGATGTGGCTACCCCAAGTGGTCTTTTAATAAAGCCCAAAGGACGAGAAAGGCCAGAGACACAGTCCAACAGACAGAAGAAAGTAGGAGGAGAGGGGTGTCCTTACCGTATGTGGCGGGAGTTTCAGAGAAACTACAAAGAATCTTTAGGCAACACAAAATCCCTGTGTATTTCAAACCTTTCAACACGTTAAGACAGAAATTAGTGCATCCCAAAGACAAAACACCCAGACACAAACAGAGCAATGTGGTGTATTCAATTAAATGTAGTGAAGAGGAGTGCACTGACCACTATATTGGAGAAACCAAACAAACTCTACAGAAACGACTTTACCAACATCGTAGAGAAAACTCTAGTGGACCACAGTCGGCTGTTCATCTCCACCTCAAGGCCTCCAACCACACGGTGGATGACACTGAGGTTAAAATTCTGGCTCGGGAGAAGAATTGGTTTGAGAGAGGGGTGAAAGAAGCCATTTTTGTGAGGAAACAAAAACCTTCTCTTAACAGAGGAGGAGGGTTAAGATTTGTTTTGCCTCGCATCTATGACGACATCCTAAAAACAACGCCCTAACTTGGGACAAGGTCAGTGACATGCTAATGAGTTAGGAGGGGTGAGACCTGCACTCCACTTGAGCATCCCAGCAGACAATAGGTCTGTGACATGCTAAGGAGTTAGGGTCGTTAGCCTCAGCAGGGTCGTTAGACCTGCTCCCTTCTACATCAAGCAGACCTTAGATTGTTTATGAGTTAGTATCAGGATTAGGGTGTGGCTAACCACACCCATAGGTTATAAATCTCCAACGCGCGGTCCGAGAATTCATTCCCTGAAGAAGTCCGCTAGTTTGAGGACGAAACGTCGGGAAAACTTGCTAAGAAGTACAGATGATGGGTGAGAAACCTTCCTTTGCTTTGACTAATCCCTGTACGACTGAGAGCTTACATAAACAGACCATAATTTAGTTCACTCAATTAGCAGACTTTGAATAAACAGGTGTCCGCTCTTACCTTTTGTTGAACAGGGCGCCAGGCACCGTCAGAAGTCCACCAAATATCAGCTTTTCCACGTCCAACCAGGTCTCCAGATCATGAACCAGCGCTCACTAGTACCGGGAACTAGTTTCCATCGGCAGAGACCAATCGCACGTCAAAAATCCGTGCAATTGGTCGCACGGATTGTGGACATGGGAAAACAATTTTAAACCCTCAGTCCAAAAAAGAGGACACAAAAAAAATATAGTGAGAGAGCAAAAAAGAGTCCCGGAGCCGGTCGCCTCTCCAGCCTGCTGGACCGCTCCCAGGCCCCAGATACTCTCAGCTCTCCCACGCCGAGAAAAAGAAACAAAGAAAACTCCCTCAAAACAGTCCAGAGAATGGCACACACTGAGCCGCACATCCTCCACCAAATCTGTCAGGATTCAGCAGAAAGAGACGGATCGTGGTGTGCCAAACTCTGGAAGTTTATTTAAGTTTCTCTCAAGTTCCAATGGTTTACTTTGTTTCCTTCTCTCAGACAGAATAAAGGCAGTACACAGTTTATATAGTCATTGTCACGTCACACATCGAAAGACATACGTGTCACAAAGAGACAGTCAAATCATAGTCATAACATGGAGTCCTTGTAGAGTCCTGCACGTAGGCCATATTGCTATCTAATATTAACAATAGTACCAGAGGGAGTTGTTATCACTGATGTGACGATAGTACCAGAGGGAGTTGTTATCATTGATGAGACGATAGTACCAGAGGGAGTTGTTTTCATTGATGTGACAATAGTACCAGAGGGAGTTGTTATCATTGATGTGACGATAGTACCAGAGGGAGTTGTTATCACTGATGTGACGATAGTACCAGAGGGAGTTGTTATTGTAACAGTAATTAAAATAATATAGTGTTAGGGATAGTTATTGCAATGGTGGAAATATGACTGACAGAAAAATCTAGATTCGGTATGAGAGCTTGTGGGAATGAAGACACGGGAAGGAGTATAGGAGACAGGTTGCCGTCCTTGTTGGTCCGGTCCATCTGGTATGTACTCTGTTTCACTCAGGTTGGACGGGATCTACAGGGACGGGGTCAGGTAAGTAAGGTAGGGTTAGAGGTTGTGTTTCAGGTTCTGGATGTGGTTTTGGAATGTTTACAGTGGTATGGAATCGGACTGTTTCGAAAGAAGGTAAGTGGTAGTCATGGCTTGGTGATATTTCGTCATCTGAAACGGGATCATCGGGTTCTGGATTGGATAATGTCATTTGGTGTTTTGCAGGTTTCTCCGGCGGTAAGGATTGGACTTCAGAGGTAAGTGGTAAGTATCCACAAGGTAGGAGTAAGTCACGGTGGAGGGTTCTAATGGGTTTTTCTGCTTTTTCAGGATGTACAGTGTAGACAGGTAAGTTTTCGGCTTTCTTGATTACAACATAAACTTGAGACTCCCACTTGTCTGCAATTTTGTGTTTACCCCTCAATCGGACGTTTTGTACGAGAACACGATCGCCAACTTCAAGCTCTGAGGCTATGACTTTTTGGTCAAAGCGCATTTTGTTCTTTTTCATGATCTTCGCAGTATTTTCGGAAGCCAGTTTATAACTTGTTTCAAGCTGAGATTTCAGTTTCTGGACGTATTCGGAGTGATTGAGATTGGGTTTGATGACAGGCAGTCCGAAAACGAGGTCGATGGGGAGTCGTGGTTGGTGTCCGAACATGAGTTCGTATGGGGTGAATCCGGTTGTGTCATTTTTCGTGCAACCGAAAAATGACACATTTTTCATTTTGCCTCGCATCTAACAGTGCTGAACACAGTGCTGTTCAGCACTGTGTCCTGTGCTGAACAGCTTTGTTCAGCACAGGACACAGACTGGAATGTGCTGATTTCTGTTAGCATGGCTCGGGGAGGTAAGATGACGTTGTGGTCTGACAGGGAATTGAGTACCATGGACAAGTGGTTTGACGAAGTCCTTCCAATGGGTCTTTGTTGTTCTCCAAGTGTTCCTAACATGTCCAGTAATGTGCGGTTGAATCTTTCGACGGGGTTTCCTCTGGGGTGATATGGGGTTGTTCTGATTTTCTAAATTCCTGCAAGGGCACAGAGTTCTTTTATGGTTTTTGATTCAAAGTCTGGACCTTGATCGCTGTGGATTTTCTGTGGGATACCGTAGTGTATGAACAAATTCTCCCACAAAACCTTGGCTACGGTCTTTGCCTTTTGGTTTGGGGTTGGTATGGCAAGGGCGAATTTGGTGAAGTGATCCGTAATGACCAGGATGTCTTTTATTTTGCGTCGATCCGGTTCCAATGTCAGAAAATCAATACAAATGAGTTCAAGGGGGTGTGAAGTTCTAATGTTGACCAGTGGAGCGGCTCTCTCTGGTAGTGCTTTTCGCTTAATGCATCGCTCACATGTCCTCACCTTGGTCTGTACATCGCTGGCCATTCGTGGCCAATAAAAGCGGTTTCGAACCAGATCCAAGGTCCGTTCAATGCCCATGTGGCCCATTTGATCATGAAGGCTGGACAAAACATCCACACGACACTCTTGGGGTTGCACAAGCTGATATTGGAGCTGGTCGCCAAGCTGCCTTCTCCTCACGAGGACGCTGTTGTGGAGCTCCATCCGATTGAGGTCCCGTAGAAGGAGCGGCAGCTCTGGCAATTTATCCCTCAAAGAGGGAGTTGGTGAATCACCAGTCTCCAGTTGTGCGATTATGTGTCTCAGAACAGGATCTGTGCGTTGCTTGTCAGCAATGTCAGCTGGGCTCAGCGGAGGAACCAGAGAGGATACAAACTGCTCGTCAGCAGTGTAGCTATCCGGTAGATTGCTGGGGGACATTGAGAGGGAATGGACAAGAGCATGTTCAGAAGTGGAATCGGAAACACTGCATACCAGTTGTCGGTCAGAGAGGGCTTCCACAGTGTGTTGGTCGAATGTTATGACATTGGGGTGTTCAAGATGTTGTTTCGGTAAATCTGAGTATTCGTTCTCTTTCTTTCTGTGACATCGGATCGTTGACAAGTTCACCATGTGGTCTGCGTGAAAGTCCATCTGCGTCTGCATTTTGCTTGCCAGCTCTGTATGTGATCTTGAATGAGTAGGTAGATAGTGCAGATAACCAGCGGTAACTTGTGGCGTGGAGTTTGGCTGAAGTGAGGAGGTATGTCAGGGGATTACTGTCGGTCACAACTGTGAAGGAGGTACCGTACAGATAGTCATTGAATTTCTCAGTAACTGCCCATTTAAGGGACAGAAACTCCAGCTTGTGGGCGGGGTATCTGGACTCACTTTGGGACAAGCCTCTGCTGGCATTAGCGATCACCCTTTTCTGGCCTTCCTGTTCTTGATATAGAACAGCACCATGCCCGGTGGAACTGGCATTGGTGTGTAACAGGTAAGGAGTTTTG